TCCCATCCCACTCAAGTTTCAAGAGAGGGCACTCTGCATTGCACTTTCCCCAGGCCTCCAGGTGAGGGACAGGTGGCAGGTGGGGTCCAGGCATCCAGGCCAGGAAGGAAAGATGGCAATCCAACCACCTAATCTGGTGATGGTTGTTCCTATGCCTACGATGTCCTCTCCTACTTTAGACCTACTATAGATCAATTGCAGTCTTTCTCATCTCCATCACTTTATGTGGAGTTGAAGATAGCCACACAGAATGTCAGATAGAACTACTGTATTCATTAAACTTGTACTGAACACCTGCTTTGGGCCAGGCATAGTCCTGAGCTCCGGGACACAGATGAACCAGACAGCGTTTCTGAGGGATGCCTTCCTCACTCTGAGTCCATCTGGCAGCCCTTTTGCTTCAGTTCTGAGTCAAGCTCTATGCTTTCCTCTACGGCAGCGGTTCTCAACCTGTGGGTCGCAACCCCTTTGGTTGTCGAACAACCCTTTCCACAGGGGTCACCTAAGACCATCCTGCATATCAGATATTTACATTACAATTCATAACAGTAGCAACATTACAGTTATGAAGTAGCAACAGCGGGGATGCTGAGCAGAAGCATAGGGAGCCCCCTCCCTGAGTCAGACACACAGCTGCGAGTCTGCAGAGTGAAGGAGCTGTACTTCTGGGCCTGCCTTGCCTTGCTGGGCTCAGACATGCTGCTGGGTTTCTGGGTGACAGACTGCTTCTTGGAGCCTGTTAAACGGACTCCCATTCAGACTATACAAATTGCAGCACAGCATATGAGGTGCAGAAGGATATGGGGTTTTCTGTCAGTCACAGGCCTTGTTAGTGTTATATACAGGCACCAAGTCAAGTCTGTGTGTCCCTCAGAAATCCCACTCCCTGGGAAAGTGCCACTGGATTCCTCCCTAATGAGGATCCCCTGACAGCCGGCTGGCATGCTGCTGCCTTTCCCCTTCCCCAAACAAGGACTGGACAGTCAGAACCGGTTCCTCTCAGGGTGGCTGCTGGACTTTCCTGGAGCACAGGTTACTTTAAAGTTTTACTTCCAATTAAGGAACTGGAGGTAGAAACTCTCTGCAACATCACACCATCACCTTCCTCCTCATCACCACCTTCTCTATATATAAAAAAACAGGTAATATGCAAATTAGCCGGGCGTCACGCCGGGCTGGAGGAGGCTGCATCAGGACTACTCAGGAGGAGCTGCGCACACAGATGGGCGGGAGGGGACTGTGTGCCGCCCCCACCCCAGCGGACACACAGACACCAGGGGTGGAAGAGCACGCTCCCACCCCAGTGGACACACAGACACCAGGGGTGGGGGTGCAGCGCGGCTCGGAGCACGCCCCGTGTGGATGGTGGCAGTGGCCGGAGCAAAGCAGCCCTGGTCCCAGATACCTGGTGGTGGCTGGAACAAAGCAGCCAGGGTCCTGGGTGCCAGAGGGAAACTGGTGCTGGCAGCCAGGGGAAGGAAGACTTATTCTTGCACGAATCTTTGTGCATTGGGCCTCTAGTTATCTTATAACTAGCAAGCATTCTGTGGGTGGCCAGTACTACATTGAGATTTTATGTACATTTTTTTCCTATTTAATTCTCATGGCGACCCTGCAAAATAGACATTACCACCCCACTCTTACTGATGAGGAAAGTAGAGCTCAGAGAAGTTAAGGAATTTTCCCAAGGTCACATAGCCAGAAAGTGGATGCAACTGACTTTAAATCCAGCTCTGCCTCATTTCAAAGCCTGTACTGTTTTCACTAGGCCAGGCTGCTGCCATAAAAGCCACCATTTACTGATCACCTGTGTACCTAGCCCTGTGCCAGGTGCTTTATTTCGGGTAATGCTTTCAATGGCTCTTATGAATAGTCGCTGTTCTTGCCAATTTATCACTGGAGGCAGGTGCACAAAGGTTAACTCATTTCCCTGATGCCACACAGAGCTAGTGGGAGGTAAAGCCAGCACTCAAACTCTGGGCACTTTCTGTCACTCCACATTCCTTCACCTGCGAGGAAAGAAAGTAATAATCCAAACTTGGTAACTGATTTCACTGTATCCCAACTATGCAAATAAGCACTGTATTTCTGGCCCAGATTGAGGCCATGGGATATGGAAGTGGTCGTCCACGGAGAAAAGCATCTGCTGTCTCCTGGGCTTGTTTTCCAAGAAAATCTATTTGGGGATACTTGGTAGTGATGGGCAGCTGTTTCCTTTGAATCTAGATCAGTGAAGAACAGGGATATAATGACTCAGGAAAATGTTAGGTAATTTTACAGTAACATTTGGAAGCTTCCATTATCCATTCATTTGCAGAGCACATACTAGAGTCCACTATTATAGGTTTGAGGAGTTGAATGGTCTCTTCTTTGAACCCATCTGTAATTTAACTGAAGGTGACAGATATAGAAATAATGCTACTAATCTGTAATGTGATTTTCAGGAGATGATTTAACCTCTCCGGACTCTGGAACCACAGTATAAAATTAAGTAAACCAGATAATGTATCCATCCATCCTCCTTCCTACCGTCCCTCCCCTTATCCCTCCCTCTCTCCTTCCTTCCTTCCATTTCTTCATTGTTCAAGGTAATATCTATGCATATTTGTCTTGAGCATATTTGGCATATGAATCCCTTTGCCCAGAGCTGTGCACCCAGAGAGGCAGAGCCAGGCTCTGAGGCACAAGTTGGCCTGACTCTGAGGCCTATACTGCCCTCCCGCTGAGAGGTCAGTTTCTCTCAGTTCAGGTTTCCCACATTCCCCACTAGACAGGCTCCTTAAGGCAAGCGAGACCTGCTGGAGTCACACTACTGAGGTCCCTGTGCAGGTCCCACAGTGATTCTCCGCACACAAGCAGCAGGCATGGCCAGTGACCAGAGGACACACAGGGGTGCATGGTCCCTGCTGGCACTGGCCAGGTTGGCATGGTGAGGGCATCCCACAAGCAGAACAGCCACTGGAAGCCAACCAGCCCTAAACAGATTCCATAACGGGTCCAGTAAAGAAAGGCTGAGTAAGTAGTATTCCCCTTGGCTGGAATAATATTTACATCTCCAGTTGACGGAAAGGACTCACGCCATGGGAAGGCCCACAGCATACATACAAAATCACACAGCTGGGTGAGAGAGCCCAAAGCTTCTGACCCAGAGACAAAGGCAGCGTTTCTGGCCAAGATAAAGGAAGAGGGGTTTCCTCGCTCTAGTGCTGCCCCTGACTCTGCCGCTTGATCAGCTTGTGAATTTGGGAAGGTCACTGAACCTCTCAAGGGTAGGTTGAAGGATTTGGACTATGAAGTGCTTTCATCTCTAAAAAAGTTCCTTTGAAAGCTTTTACACACTTGCGTCATGCCCCTCTGTCTGGGCTCAGAGCACTTCCCCACTTCTCTTCCTGGTCTTGTCATTGTTCCTGTGAGAAAGGGCAGGGCTGGGAAAATCCTGGGCCCTGCAGTCCGCTAGGCCCTGGTGCAAATCTGGCTCCATCATGGCCCAGCAGCGAGGCCTTCTTCTTGAAGTCCCAGTTACACTCTGGGAGTGATAATACCACTTACCAGGGGCAGCTCCCCTGATTCCTTCTTAGGTCCCGGCTCTTCTCCCCTCACTCATTCTCCTTGAGCAAACTTTTGTGTGCTCGGAGTCAACTCCTGCGTGTTTCTTGATGGCTCTCAAATCAAGATCTGCAGCCTTACCTAACCACTGCATGAGCTGCAGACTTGCTGATGAACTATAGACATGTCCTCTTGTGTGCCCTACGGTGGTGTGTCCCTTCCTTGCCCTTAGGGTGCTCAGGTGGAGCACCCAATCCTGCTCAGCTCTCAGGTCCCTGGTGAGGGTACTGCCATCGACCTGGGCATCTGAGTAAGAGACTCCTGGCTCTAGCATCCCTCAGACCCAACCCATGACTAAGCCCTCCTGATTTCCCCCTTTAAACAAAACTTGAGGCTGTCCTTCACCATTCCCACCCCTCATCACCACCGCATTATCCAATCAGGGCAGGAACTCCCAGCATAGAAGTCATGAACGTAGAAGGTACAGAGTCTGTGAGTGCTCAGTTGAACTGAGCAGACTTTAGAGAAACCTCTGCATCTATGAGGCATTACTACATTGGAAGACATTCAAAAGAAATTACTATAAATCCCTCCTTTTTGGATACCTTTTCCTAGTTCACAGACCCTGATCTGTGGATGAAGAATAGAGAGCAATCTTTTGCTGGCTCTTGTGCCCTTTCATGCTCCTGGGTCTTTGCATGTTCCCTCTCCCTGGTCACCCTCTCCCTCCAGCTAGTTCCCATCTTTAAGATGCAGTTCTTAAGTAATGGCCTTCCCCCTACCCAGGAGCACCTCCTTTATGATCTCAGAGTTGCCTGGGGGCATATTTCTGGCTTCTCATACTGGAACCGTCTCTTTTTTATGCCCCTAGTAAGTGCACTTGGAGTGGCCAATGAACAGGGCTGTATTCTATTCATCTCTCTGATTCTAGCACAGGGCCTGCAGAGAGGAGATCCCAGGAAAAAACTGCCCAATGGCTGACACAATTAAAACCTGTGAAAGAATGCGCGGGCACATGGCCTGGGACCCCAGCAGGTGGACCCACCGCAGCCTGACAAGCCTCTGGACACCAGTTCTGACGGTGAGCAGTGTTAGAGCCTTTCAGCTCGTCTGGGACTGCAGACTCAGGGATGGCTGCCTGCAGAGTGGATATTGATCCTAGATTCCCCCTGGACCACTGATTTCTCATTCTCCCCATCCATCACCCAGCAGGAACAACAAAACTTTGCTCATCAAAAATGCCAAATGCCTTGGAGAGTGTACCTTCTAAATGCGGCCATCTGAGGCCGCTACTCCGCCACCCTCCCCTGACATTCCATCAATAGCCTTTGATGCCCACCCCTCCTGGCCTCCTCCCACCCACACCCCCGCCCCCACCCCCACAAATGTTGCCTTGGAGGTGATCAGCTCTCCCTCAGAGAGCCATGGCTGGAGCCAGGGCCCGATGGACTCACCCTCCATCGAAGGGGTTCTCCCCGGGGATGATGTGTGTGCTGTCCCTGCCCACGAGGAACTTGATGCGGTCATAGAAGGAGTGCAGGTTCTGCTGGGACACAGGGGGTGGAAGCTGGGGGCTCCATGCGGGGTGGATGATGTCCAGTGGGTCAGGGGAGCCCAGGCACAGTGGGTTGACATGACAGAAGGGCTGGAGGCAGCAGTCAGGGTCCATGCAGTCGACCAGACCATCTGTAGGGGTGACAGAGCATGAGGTTTATGTCACTATGTTCCATCAGCCACACTTGTCCACAATACCATCATGCACTTCTCTATTTCCCACTCACTGAAAAACTTAATTAAATGCCTGGTATAAACCAACACCTTTGCTGGGCACCAAGGAGATCCAGGTGCTTCAGATCTGGTCCCAACCCACTAGTCTCACAGGAGAGACAGCCAAGTAAGTGGACAGTGGACATATGCTATTTCCCTCACCCCCCAAAAAAGATAAGAGGTAAGAGAACACATTGAACAGTGAAGTTTCTAAATTCAAAAGTTGGGCTCTGAGGGCGGGGACAGGGGATTAAAAAAAGGTGGGACTGCAGAGGTTGGCAGAAGCACACTGTTGGGCCTGGGGGTGGGGGGACAGGTTACAGAGTTTGCATTTTATCCCAGAGACAATGGGAGCTACTGAAAGGTCTTAAGCAGCGGGTAGGAGCTGGGGAATATGGGAGGGGGTGGTAGCTGAGGTGGCACAGGGAAAAACAACCGCTGAGACTAGAGTACTAGCAGTGGGGACTGAGAGAAGTGGGTGGCTTTGAGAGACGTTTCAGAGGTAAAAACATTAAGACCTGGTGACTGGCTTTTGAGGGAGGGGAAGAGGCAGTGCCTCAAAGGCACTGTAACTCTCAGCCACTCTCCTGGCTTGGAGGTAGGTATGTGCACACCTGGCTCCACCTTCTGTGGGAGGGGCTTTCTGAGTTTACTGAAAGGTTTCTTGTCTCTGGCCCAGTGGCCATTAGCAGGGAATTCTCTTTACCACATGGATGGATTTCAAATTATATTACAACTTCCAGCTTCCCAAAGTTCAAAGAAAGAAATTCCACCAGACCACAGGTTTTTGCTCGCATTATCTCAAAGGATTTTTACAGGTATGCCACAGACTAACTTAACATGGACAACAAATCCAGAGATTAGAGGATGCTGCCCAAAGTGAGGGGCAAAGAAACCCAGGGTTATAGTCTGTGTGTTGTTGGCAGAGAACAGTTTAAGGACCCCTGTTCCTGGCGGGGAGGACATGGGTCACACTCTGTCTCTCCTGCTTATTAGCTGTGGCTTTGGGCAAACTTCCCCACGCCATGGGGCCTGGCCCCGTTCTGGTTATCACATTTTAGTGCAGGTATTTAAAACATGACTGTTTAATAAAGAAATGAATGATAAATTAATAAATTAACCAGTGAATCAGGAAATGAAACTAAATGACAGTCTATGAAAGCCAGAACACCATTATCTTCATTCTAGTTAATATACAGTGTTACATGGTGGGGGATGAATGAGGCTCCGAGACGGAAGTTCAAGTTCCAGATTGAGTTTCTGTACTTACTCAGAGCCCCAGTCTCGTCATGGACATGCTTCCCTCACTTCTGTCTCTGTGAGTTTGCTATATAGAGGCTGCCCACCAGAGTACCCTCTGGGTTCAGTTTCTCACAGTTCTTATGAGGGGATTATAGGAGTGGGTGTAAGTATTTGTTACATAAAGAAATACACCCCCAGATCCAGCGGAGTACCTGGCACCCAGTAAGTACTGAATATGGGGTAGTTCGCCTTCCTGACCCTGAACCTGAAACAGCCTCACTAAAATGAAGGGCCATATGCCTTCTGTCTGCTCACCTGTCAGATTCATCCTGAGATGTAGACAGGCCTCCTGTCACCCAGCACTGTCCTGTGTCCTAACCTGCAGCTCCTGTCCCAGGTCCCAGATACACCGACTAACTTCCTAGCAAAGCACCTGTTTCTCCTGCAGTCGGCGGGCCCGGCCACACTCTCTCGCGCTGCCCTGTCAGACATCGCTTAAACACGTAATTGCAGCCTGCGCTGAGGGTGATTTGCATTCTGCTATTGACGTTAGCATGACAGATTCAGCTGCCGCATCCATAACTCGGCAGAAATGCTCCATTATTCAATCCCCGCGAGTGGGGACGCTGACCATTAAATCGGCTAGCACAGTTGAAGGGCCGTGAAAAGTCATGGCTAATTTGAAATTTTATTAGCTCTCGCCTGCTCTTGTTTACCACCGAAGCAGTCCCTGGAAACCAGTCTTCTACCTCCTTACAAACACACTGCTCCGTGGCGCCTGGAAGAAGCTTAGCCAGGAATTATTATTATTGTCATTAATACTTTTAATATCAGCCTGATGATGGTGATGATGAAGATAATCACAGCTGCCACTTACTGAGCGACAGGCGCTGTGCTAAATGCTTTACAGGGAATGTTTTCAAGGGAAGTGTCCCGGAGTCTCCCCAGCTCCAGGAAGTAGCCACCATCGCCCTCATCACCCTCACTGTGGAGGGAAGGAACCAGGGCTCACGGTGGAGAAGTCACTGGGTCGAGGTCTCACAGTCAGTCAGTGAAGAAGCTGACTCAGAAATCTGAACTCAGGTCTTTGTGGGGTGGGAAAGGTTTCTGAGTCTTGAAGAGACTTTTAGGAACTATTAAGTGGAAAGCATGGGTTTCTGAGTCTTGCTGAAATACCACTGCTCTGTGCACTTCCAGCCATTGGGCAACCTCCATCATAGCCCTGGCCTCCCCGATACTGTGACTGACTTTCTCTGTCACCCTCCCAGACCATGAGCTCCTGGAGACGGGGCTGTCGGACTCATTTCAGGCTCCCAGTGTCTACTGCTCTGGCTTTCACCTGCCTCCTTGCTTCTGGCATATGAGCCCCCCCACATCCCTTTTTTCAAAAAAAAAAATGTCAGCAGTGAGTTTTAAAAACAAATTGTTGTTTCTTGTGGTCAGAGGGCCTTTGTGATGGTCTAGTTGGCCACCCCGCCGGAAATGAAAGTCCCAGGAAGGGCCTGGAGCTTCCGTTTGCCCCTCTGGAAAATGAACAATCAGACCGAGCTGGCGGAGATGCTGGATTAGGTGAGATCAGCATGATGGCCAGTACATAAGTGCCTGATAATAACGTTACTATTAGCCCCTGGCCAGGTGCTTCTCATGAACAGGCATCCTGCCACCAGGCCTGCCCTTTGGCCCTGAGGTGGCCCCTTCTCTATGCATACATTCCAGGCAGCCCTTCTGGATGCAGTCTGGCCTTGGAGAACTGAATTAGATAAACATGGCCCAAGCAACACACCTGTAAGTTAGGACAGTAGAGAACTCAGGGGACTTGAAAACTGGGGTTCTTTGAAATGGAGACAGCACACAAATGGTGCTCTTATGAGAGATTCTGGGACAGGGGACTTGTTCACCGTATACTTCGCAGTTTAGTGATTAATGCCAGGGCAAGAGTTCTGTCTGCCTACACCTTCCTATATTGACACTCCTTGATCCTTCATTCAGCAAATATTTACTAGGTAGTAAATGTGGGCTAAACCTCTGCTAATCGAGACAATCCTACTTAAATGAAATATGTACATATTTTAAAATGAGGAAGGCCCATAAAATTCTTACCAAAAGCTCAGTTTACAAGACTCGCTTTTAGGCAAACCTCTTTTGATATTTTCAAATGTAGCATATGGCAGCCTGAACCAGGGCATATGGTTGCTCTACAGCCATAGAGGATCTTCCACAGTTTCATTTTCTTAGGCACAGACGACAATTTTAGAAGAGTCATGTTGAGAGGAAAAAGTATGCTTTGGGGATAGAAAAATAAGTTTTGGGGTAAACTAGAAATACATAAATACATAGTTTTTGAGATTCTCCAGTTTGGGCCCATCTGGGAACATTTCTTAATTGTAAATGACACACAAGTTGGTTGACTTATAAAACGTCCATGTTTCATGTTCTTGCTATTCCCACGTGAGACCCTCATTATCACAGCAGAAAAACATAAAACAAAAAACAAAACGAACGACCAACAGGAAAAGAGAGAGGACATTCCTCTATTTCCTTCAAGTTTTCAATAAAATCCTCCTAAACTCTAAACCCTGACTTTTGGAAAAGAACATTTTTGCCCCCAGAAACCTGCTCTTTCCTCAGAGATCTGAAGGCCCCTCCCTGTCCTTGCTGGTGACCGTGAAAAGGAACAGAAAAAAGTGCCAGAGGCTGTTCAGGCCCCCGAGGCTGGGAGGGGGGCAGTGCCACATCCAGCCATGGGCTCTGGTGGGACTGAACGGCAAAGGTTAGTGGGGAAGAAGCGGCTAGAAAAAGGCAGGATATTAAAAGGAAAGGTGTGAGTAGAGAAGGAGAGAGAAAGAGAGAAATACAGGTCTCTGGGCACTAAATGAACATTTCAAAGTAGTTCATGTACTTGTGACCCTTGAACTTGAAGACCCCTCCCACTTGCTGAAATGCTGCATGGTGCCTTGGTCTTTGCTAATATTTCCATCTATGTGCTATCAACTTGAGGATGAAGGCCATGCCATTTCCTCTTGCATCTCTCCTCAGTGTCTACCCTGCTGGTGGTGTCAAATGACCTTGAGAACTAGGGGCAGGAATATGTGGGAGAGAGAAAATCCAGGCTAGAAGCTTGATGACCCAGTCCTTCCGTGGGCCTGCCCCTCTTTAGCTCTGAGACCTTGGGCATGGCCCTTCATATGTCTGAGATGTAATGTATTAATGGGATAATAAGCTCTGCCCACCTCTCAGGGTTGCTGCAAGGAACCTTGGTGGTAAAGAGCAAGTGAGTAATTTGATATGAGAAATGTTGGTGTCCTTCGCATGCCTGTGGCTGCTCCTGGAGCCCCTCTGCAGACAGGCGCAGGGGCCCAGGGCTCTGTGAAGTCTCTGCCACCACTTGCAGTGCTGACTGGATGTGGCTTTCTATTCATTTTGGGATCTTAATCACTGCCAGTGGAATCTTGGGTGACTCACCTCCCTCTCTGATGTTGTGTCCTCATCTGTAACGTGGAGGTCAACAGGACAGCCTCCGGGGCTAGCCTGCCTGACAATCACCTTCTGGCCTTTATGTGCCACAGGCCCATCTCCTCTGGGGGCTGTGGCTGTGACTTTCACAGACAGTGAGAGGTGCACATGGGAATTCTACGGAAGGTGGTCAGCTAGCCTTCTCACCTTTACAAATGAGGACA